TGACACGTACTGTCCTTTTATCCAGTAAGATAAGGGACTCTAATGTTCACCTGAAATAGGAAATGTTCTACTGACTATCAGAAAGAACTGCTAATGTTTCTTTTCAGAGAAGAGAATGGGAAACCCCATGGAAGATGGAGCTGGGGTAGCAAAGGACTGCAAGTATTGTCTAGTTCTGAGATGTTAGTTTTACTGCTACTCATCCCCTTGCCTCCAAAATGTGGATATTACTACTTGCAAAACCCTATGCCGATGTATTGGCAGCCTGTAATAATAATGACTGCAAAGTGCTGAGAGCCTGATGGGAGCCACACAATAAATTGCTAGAAGAGACCGAGATTATTGGCAGGTCCTCCCTTATGCAGAGCTCACTGTTGCCTCAGCTTTTAGAGTGAAATTACATTGCAGAGCTGATGTGTCACCATCTTTTTGGTGACAAAGAAAGCATTTATGAAGCCTTTTATTAAATCTTTAATAAATTGACTTCCCACACATAGAAAATATTTCTTGGGAATTAGTATCATTTAAGAACTAATTACAGAAAGTGGAGACTGCACAATTCTCATTCCACTGGCTCACACTTGCTGAACAACAAGAACCAGTATATGTACAATCAGCAAGGCAAAAGATTATGGATAACACTGGTGGAAAAGGCGTGAAATGTCAAAGTGTTTCAATGTGAGACTTGCAAATCCAGCCCGATTGCTATAGAGGCAGTTTCTTTAAGTACAGAAGTCACAGTAAAGGTAAGGTAAAGGACCCCTGGATGGTTAAATCCAGTTGAATTTGACTGTGGGGTACAGTGGTCATCTCTGCTTTCAGGCTGAGGGAGCCGGCGTTTGTCCACAGACAGCTTTCTGGGTCTTGTGGCCAGCATGACTAAACCGCTTCTGGAGCAACTAAACACCATGACGATTGCCAGAGTGCACGGAAATGCCGTTTACCTTCCCGCCACAGCAGTACTTACTTGCACCTTTATCTACCTTTATTTATCTTTATCTACTTGCACTGGTGTGCTTTTGAACTGCTAGGTTGGCAGAAGCTAGGACAGAGCAACGGGAGCTTACCCCGTCATGTGGATTCAAACTGCCGACCTTAATCGGCAAGTCCAAGATGCTCAGTGGGTTAGACCACAGCACCACCCGCGTCTTAGAAATTACACTAACATAAGCACATAAGAAGATCCTGCAGGATCAGGCCAATGGCCCATCTAGTCCAGCATGCTGTTTTCACAGCGGCCGACTAGATGCCTGTGGGAAACCTGCAAGCAAGATTTGAGCACAAAAGCACTCTTCCCTCCTGTGGTTTCCAGCAATTGGGATTCAGAAACATTGCTACCTCCAGTAGGATTGCTTTTCTGGGGAACAAACACAAATTGTTGAGCTTTTTTGGGGAAACCTAACCCAAAATATAGTGATTTTAAGCTTTGGGAGCTGTTTCCCACAGTCACCATTTTTACACCCCAAGACCAGGACATGTCAGGAATTTTCCTGCCGTATGGCAAGCCTAGCCTCTAGCTGTGGAGACAGAGCACAGCCATCATGGCTAGTAGTTATTGGTAAGCCCTCCCCTCCATGAATATGTCTAATTCTCTTTTAACGCCCTCTAGGTTGGTGGCCACCACTCATTCCTGTGGGAGCAAGTTTCATAATTTAACCATGGGCTGCATAGTTGACTGCAGCATAAAATAAGTTTGCTATCAGAATCCTTAACTTGTAACAGAAATCATTTGTGATATGTGGTCGGCAGCTCAGGTCTTCAGGTGCCTGTCCCTTCCCAGTCCATAACAATCTGGAATGAAATTTTGATTTCCGAATTGTCTTCCAGACTCCACTTTATAGTGTGAAATGATATACCTGCGGCTAGTGTGTGTGTGTGTGTGTGTGTGTGTACGTGTGGCAGCCTGTTGACAATGGCATTTTAAACAACTTCTTAACTAGAGCACTGACCACTTTTATGTGTTACAACACATGCCATTTTTCTCCCTTGCTCCTACAAGATGTTTCATTGATCTGTAAAGATATTTCTTTTGCTGCATTCTTCACTGTCTACTTTTATGCAAAGACTTCATTGTTGGGCAGACCCTTTACTGATACTGAGAAGACTTGCAGGCAATTTGTGCTCCATTAATGGCTCTGCTGGGGACAATTTGCACGCTTGCAGAGGTGCGCATCAAGGCACTAATGTCAAATATGGAGATAAGATATCATCTGATGCTATAGCTGAACATTCCTTTGGAAAATGGATGCTCTTGACTCCAACATGCTATTTGCTTGAACTAGGTGAGCAGTGATTGCAGCTCATCTTGTATTGTATGCTGGAATGCGTTCCACACACTTTGCCAGCCGTCTTTGCAAATGAAGCCAAATTGATGAATGAATTATCTAAAAGAACAAGGGGGAGCTGTATTCAGAAAACACACATTTTAATATTGTCCACCCTTTCACATAGCAGAAGCAGACACCGCTCTTTATCCATAGATCTCAGGGTGGCTCACAACATAAAAATATGATATAAAAACACAAAATACTTAATGAAACCAAGAACAACAACAAAACCACACCCACAAACCAAAAGGGGAGGAAGTTCTATTTTTCTACAATGGCTGCACCCACCACAAATAATAGGCACGGGCAAACCAATCTGAATCAGGACCACAGCAGGGGATATTGGGTTAAAGCCCTCCTGAGCCAGGATCCTTATCCAGATATGGGACCTCATAACCAGCCGCTTCTGAAAGAAAAATCCTGAACAACACATGATTTCTGTAACATGCAGTTTGGCTCCTATTCCCTTCATAGAGCTACAATTACAGTGGTGCCTCGCAAGACGAAATTAATCCGTTCGGCGAGTCTCTTCGTCTTGCGGTTTTTTCGTCTTGCGAAGCACGGCTATTAGCGGCTTAGTGGCTTAGCGGCTATTAGTGGCTTAGCGGCTATTAACGGCTTAGCGGCTTAGCGGCTTTAAGAAAAAGGAAACAAACTCGCAAGAACTCGCAAGATGTTTCGTCTTGCAAAGCAAGCCCATAGGGAAATTCGTCTTGCAGAACGACTCAAAAAACGCAAAACCCTTTCGTCTAGCGAGTTTTTTGTCTTGCGAGGCATTCGTCTTGCGGGGCACCACTGTACCAATGTTCCCTGGGATGAGGGATTGATTGCCAAACAACTTTGAGATCTGTAGCTATAGGAGGGGACTAGGCAGTCTCCTAACAACTCTTAGCCCACTTAACAAACTACATCTCCCAGAATTTGGGGGCGGGGAGAAGCCATAACTGTTTAAAGTGGCATCAGGGTATTTTAAAGGTATGAATGTGGCCTAAGTCCTTCCTCTACCACTTACATGTGGCAAGCCACTCTTCCTCCATCCCTCTGCAGCCCCTCTACCTCTCCGAAAATATTCTCTGGAAAGTTGGGAGTAGATTGGGTCCTTCCTTAAAGAGGGCACATGTTGCGGTGAGACCTGGCAACCAAACCCTGTGTTGTGAGTGGGTTTGATTGAATAGCCAAAACACCCAATTGTTAGGTCCCTTGATGCTGGGTTTAATCAGGCCAATAGGACATAAGCTAAACAGATCAAGGGACCTATATACACCTATGCACGTGACCCAGAGCTTCCTCTTCCAGTGCGTGCATCAGAACACCCACCCACCTCTCCTATATTTAGGGCTGTGCACTTGACCTTGCTATGCCGTCGTCCGTCATTGGGACAGGGGCACGGCAGGAATTTTCCCCACATGGCTGATTGGCTGGTGCCATTTGGGTTTCGCCTGCTACGTAGCAAATTGTCACAACTTGTAAGGTTGCAGATAGGCTCTGGTTCAGGTGATAGGGATGGGAGAACGCTCTTGCCATCCCTATGTGAAGGGTATTCCGTTAAAGCAATCCAGGGACTCGATGGTTTAGTCAACCCCTGAGAGGGGGTTGTGCCCGTGCCTGAGTCCAGGGGGGGCATTTGGGTGGTAGAGATAGCCTGTTCCCGGCTTTCTGCTTATCTAGGTGTTCACCCTTGGCTGACCTATGCTGGTGCCCTGGGTCAGCACTACCTGCAACGGTGCAGGGAGCTAGTCGAACCACTCACTTGCTGTAATCCATAAAGTTGTGGCCTAAATTCTGCCAAAAATCAAACCAAAATTTGAGTCTTGTCTGGATTTATTTAAAGGGGAGGTTTAAAGGTCTGAACACGCAACCTCTGGAACAGTGTGGGAGACAGACTGTTGGGGAAGGGGGAAATGACAGAAACTGGCTGTCCACCTTTTTCCTTCAGTGGGAGCCTCTGATGGATTCAGCTCTTTCCACAAATGGAGGGAGCCCTTCCATTCTCAGAGGATCCAACCCACAGTCACCAGGTGCAGCGAAATCAAGTTATGTATATTCATGTGTAAATCAAGCCTCTGTTCCCTCCCTTTGTTTTGTTCTGGGTGTGTGAGCTAATTCCTAGTTGCCTGACCACTACCCCCCCCCCCCCATTTTGGTTACCTCTAGTTAGGGAGATAATATATCAGTTGCTCTCCCTCGTGGTGTTTAAGTTTCACTAGAAAACTTTTCCTGAAGCTAAATGCAGGATTCAATTAGTGGGGAGTTAATTTCTCCACTTTCAGCGACTGATCCTAAAAGTGCATGCCCTTTATGCAGGCAAACAGCAGGTAACCCACACAGATAGATAGATATATATACATACACTTTTTAAATGGCCAGGCTCCATTTGCAATGTTTCGAAACACCATCTGTCATGATTTTTGTCTGCGCGCTTGCTATCTCATTAATTCTGTGCTTTGCTGAACCTCCTTGCATTTTCATGGACACATATGGAGGTCTTTTATTTTCCCCTGCCCGGTGATAGGTGCTGTGAACTTCTGGCTAATTGATAAACATAAATTATCAATTGCCTCTCAAAGTGTAGGCAAAAATGTATGCCTGCTCTGGGATCTGTGCAAGCTTGGGGGCTCTTTGTCTAACCTGTGATTTATTTTATTTTTATGAAATTTCCCACATTGTGGAAGGGCTGTAGTTCAGAGGTAGAACATCTGCTTTCCACACAGAAGGCCTCAGGTTCATCCCCCAGCATCACCAAATAAGGCTAGGAATGTCCCTTGTTTGAAACCTTGGAGAGCCTCCACCAATACAATACTGGCCAGTTCATAAACCAGCATAAAAATACTCAATACAAACCTGTTGATCTTAAAGGTGCCACAGGAATTATTAATTATTATTTTTTTCATCTTTTTATTTATTAATACAAACCTGGACAGTGATACATATTTTCTGATGGTTGAGCTAAACATCAGAAAAGGTCTGTGTAAAGCAGAAGAGTCTCAAGTTCCACAATCTATATCAGGCTTTCCCAAACTTGGGTCTCTGGCTGTTTTGGGGCTACAATTCCCATCACCCCTGACCACTGAAACCTACTAGCTAGGGATCATGGAAGTTGTAGTCTAAAAACATATGGAGTTTGGGAAACCCTGACTTAGACAAAGACCCCCTTCTAAAGACTCTATTTTTGTAGAAGCAACATGTGGCGTCCTTGATAATTTCTCTACAGCTGAACATAACGATTGCGTACACAAATACGGAGTGAAGAGGTTCCTTGAGTAAGCTGGTCACAGGCTCTTCAGGGCTTAATATATGAGCAGAGAAATCCAAACTATAGGATGCTCGTTTAATTTATACTGGGGTAATTTACCCCAATTTCACTGTGTAATTTACCCCAATTTCAAACTCCATTCAGGAGCAGGGCTTCTGATAGCTGAGCTTGAGCCTGTCAGAAGGCAAACACGCCTTTAAAATAGAGTTTGGCTTACACTACTTTTTTGTGGTGGGGGGTGTCAGTTTAATTTCTGCTAGGCTGCTGGGTCTCATTACCAAACTGAATGGAGTTTGGAATAAGGATGTGTCTCCCTTGTCCTATCCTTCCCCTTCCCCACAACACCCCCTTTTCAATACTTAACCCTGGTCTTGGTTTAGCCCAGGCTTGGCTGCATCAACTAGAGATTGACCCATTCCTTCCCCACACACTTCTAATCTCGGCAGATCTAGGGTTTGAACAGTATGTGTGTCTATGTGTGTATGTTTCTACCATAGATAAATAAAATAACGATAGTATATTTTCATTAGTTATACAATCATCATCATTCTAGTTCCAAAAGCTTCAGATTATTCTAAACTTTCAGATAACAGGGAATAACTAAGTACCTTGCAATGACTGCCTAATCAAAGCTCATTTCATCTCACTAAATCAACAAGGCTAAGATGGCCTTTGTCTGAATAGGTTATTAAAACAAAGAGAGTAATGAAGCATCGAAAGTAGGAGATTACCTTTGTGGCTCACGTTAATCTGCACTGACATTTTTTATTTATTAAAAAAAAGTGTCCATTATCTAACGCTGAACTAATTTTCAGAACGGAGAAATGATTTTCATATATACACGCATACACCCTCACCGTCCTCTCCCTTCCAACATTTCAGCAGCTTGCATCAGCTATTCAGGTCCCCAGATGGAAGGGTAAGATATAGAATTCAAATAATAGCTGGGAAGAGTAAAGAACTAAGCAGGATAATGATGTGTTAGATACTGTACACAGTATTTCTAGGCCATTAACAAATAAATGGAATGTAAACAAATCAATAACAAAAGCCTATGAAAAGCATTAAAAGGCAAAACATTCCTTTTTAAAAGAATACTCTTTTCAATGTGTAACTGGAATGGTGAACCAATATTAGCCCTGGGGAGCTGTCAGTTGACTTTTATTGCTATTTGTTTGGTCTGTCTTCCTCATGCTAATGATACAAGCCACAGTCTGAGCTCTATCTCCTCCATACTGCCAAGTGTATTTTTAAGAGAGGAATTGGATCACTGTATGTATGCATGTGTGTAGAAATAACTACCAATGCTGTATGTGCTGACACCATGCCAAGTAAAGGTAAAGGGACCCCTGGCCATTACGTCCAGTCGTGGCTGACTCGGGTTGCGGTGCTCATCTCGCTTTATTGGTCGAGGGAGCCGGCATACTGCTTCTGGGTCATGTGGCCAGCATGACTAAGCAGCTTCTGGCGAACCAGAGCAGCGCACGGAAACGCCGTTTACCTTCCCACCGGAGTGGTACCTATTTATCTATTTGCACTTTGACGTGCTTTCAAACTACTAGGTTGGCAGGAGCAGGGACCGAGCAACGGGAGCTCACTCCGTCACGGGGATTCGAACCACCAACCTTCTGATCGGCAAGTCCTAGGCTCAGTGGTTTAACCCACAGCGACACCATGCTACTCCCCTCAAAATTGGGATGTAGCTGGTGCTGTGGTCTATACCACTGAGCCACTTGAGTTTGCCGATTGGAAGGTTGGCAATTCGAATCCTCATGACGGTGGCGAGCTGCCATTGCTCTGTCCCAGCTCCTGCCAACCTAGCAGTTTGAAAGCACACCAGTGCAAGTAGATAAACAGGTACCGCTGTGGCGGGAAGGTAAACGCTGTTTCCGTGTGATCTGGTTTCTGTCATGGTGTCCCATTGTGCCAGAAGTGGTTTAGTCATGCTGGCCACATGACCCAGAAAGCTGACTGTGGACAAACGCCAACTCCCTCGGCCTGAAAGCGAGATGATCGCTGCAACTACATAGTCGCCTTTGACTGGACTTAACCGTCCACGGGTCCTTTACCTTTACCCCCCCCCATTTTTTAATCCGCTACATTTTTTCCATGGAAATTTGGGGTGCTTCAGGAATCTGATCTTCATGAATTCTGATCTTCATGAACTCTTGACCCACTCTTCCTGGTGCCCATTGGGACTGGTAGAGTGGGAGGCAGGAAGCCAACAGAAGGTGGCACCAATGACAAGCAGAACCAGCTAATTCTAAGTTTCTCCTGTCCTCCCTGTTACATACTGCTAGGGCAGAACTGAGGCTTAGCACCCTAAGCATTCACCTTAGCATCTACATGCCGGGGGGGGGGGGGGAGTCATAAATGAAATTGTTATAACAAAAGAAAAAAACCATTATGTAATAATCGTATAGAAAATTATTTTGCTCTCTGGAGCCATCTGGTGTTCCCTGTTTATAATGAATTCAAAATGTTGGTTTTTTTTACTAATGTAACCGAGTCCTAGGTGGCCTATTTTCCCCAATGGACCAGTCTCCCCTGTGAACTGGACTGATGTGCAGCTTCAAATTTCTGAAGTGTTGCAACACAGTTCATAGTTCAAAAACTCACCGAAACCCAACTGAATGTGTATTTTCTGAAAGAAAATGCATGTCAAGAAAGCATATTTAAATATAGGTGCTTAAATGGCATTTTCCAAGTCAGTTCAGAATTAAATAATTCTCAGGTGAATACAGACATGGGATGAAACGTTCTTTGTGAGTGAGCATGTGCCAATGTTGCACACACTTGAAATAGACTAATTTGGTCATCTCTTCTTAAAATACTGTTCCCCCTCTTCCACTGTCACCTGAGCGGAATATTAAGTTGAAGTTTCTGGGCTGATTCACACATGCATTTATATCTATTGTTGTTTCTCTCTCTCTGCTTGATTACTATACTTTGTTGACTGGCAGCTGAATGGGTGAACTGCCTCTGCTGAAATGTATTGTCCAGGAGGTGATATGAAAGTTCTATTTATAATGGTTATTATCATGATTGCCCATCCACACATTTATGTCATCACTTGATGCTGCAATCATCTTGAACAGCCCACAGGTGTGAACTAGACCTACAGTGTTGTAGTCATCAAGTGCTAAACATTCGTATATTAACCAGCTCAATTTATTTTTTCTGGCATTCACGCTGAAACTCCATTTTAATTCGTTCTTCACCCACACACTAAACTGTGGTTGTCCAGATTCTGTCCCATCTCTCTGGATAACATTTCAGACATCTCACATTTCATTGAGAACCTTCCCTTCAGAGTGGGGTGTGCAAAACATTTGGATGAATCCTGAATCCTGAACATTTTGGGACAGATTTCAGGCTTGTCTGAGCCAAAGTGGGATTTCTGCAAAGCATAACTATGGCTGTTGACAACTGGCAGCAGGTCATAAGTCCAAGAAGCCTGAGAAGGGTCAACTAATCTCTCCACAGTCTCAGACAGGTAAATTTAACTCCATGCTCTGATGTAGCAGGTCACAGCCATTTTAGGGCTTGAAATGTCATACCATGTTTTTCTCTAAGAAAGTGAAATGAGGGCTTCTGAGAGATTTCTGCCTCTGAAGCTCCAATGAAGAAATCCTATGGTTGTTTAAAATGGGATGAAAACAGGCTTTGTAAGAGATACCTCATATAACAAACCAGAGAGGTTCCTCGTATATTAAACCAGATAGATTTCTCATATAATAAAGCAGAAGGTAGCAAATATATAAGCACGTGATATGGAAACTCTTCATTGTCTTTCAAAATAGGGTATATGGTTTATGCATACTTTGTGTGACTTTTGCTGCTGCTGCCATTTCACTTGCCAGTTCGCTAAACTACATTGTTGTTTACTTTTCCTTACTGCCATGATGGAAGAGGCATATTTGCATGGAACTGAAAAGCAACATATGGATAAATGCATGCTAATATGAAAAGAGCCGTGATAACTGCAGCACAGGAACCAGAATTCAGTTGTATTCGGTGCTAACCAACAAGAAGGCACTGCTCAGCAAGCAGTTCCATGCCCTGTGGTATTTCACTTCAAAAGTTGACACTCTGAAGCCGAGAGCACTCAGTGAAGTGCTGCTCAGTGCCACTGAGAGAGGTAGAACCTCGATCTCTAAACCTGTTTTTCTAATGTATGAATGATGTCAGCAGATGGCCTGGTTCTTGCCCTTTCTCAATCCGCATCGCTACACTGGTGACTTGTTGCTGCTCCAATATATAACGCATTAGCAATTTTCACTTGTAAATACAAATAAAATCAAGAACAAGAAGATACAGAGCATATATATATATATATATGCGCTCATTTTCTTGTCAATATGTGTCAGTTATTTCACTGGGCAGCAGATGCCACAGGTAGACATTTTCTTTCCCAGCCCTCTATAATTTTCACCTTTTTCGCTTAATTCTCTGTTCAGTTTGATAGCACTGTACATAAACTTTGAAG